ATGTAATGTGAGAATGATCGGATCCTGTGTTGTCCTACCTTGATAGCTCATGTAGCTCTGTTTCTCTCTTGAGCTGTTAAAGGATACTCTGTAATAATGTAGTTTGAGTTGGTTTCGATTTATCAGAGGATTACTATTAGAGCTGCAAATAAGAAACTATGGCTACGTTCACACTGCAGAGCTTAATGCTCAATTCCGATTTTTTGAAAAAATTTGATTTTTTTTTGCAAGGCCGTTCACATTTCCAATTAAATGCGACCTTTTGTGATCTCCTGTGTGAACGTGAAATGACCCAGAAGTGACCCGCATGCGCAGAAGAGTAATCAACGGTCAACGACGTCACTTGTTGTTTGCGGAATAGTTCTTTTTTTTTCATATGTTGCGAGCTTTTGTTTTATTATTATTATTGCCACAGCCCATATACAAACACAGACAATAATTGTTTTATCGACGGGCAAAGTTTGCACATAAATGTAAGATTTTTCCGATCCTCACCGACCTCGTCATAAAACCCGTTTAATTGATAGTGCGTGTCCGCGGCGCTCCTTGCTTTGTCGCCGCGGTGCGACACTGGTGGCTGGTGTTGCCAGATTGGGTGGTTATTCGCTACATTTTAAGGCATGTTTACATGTGTTTTAGCCAGGTTTTCGCTTGGAAGGCTCTATATCTGGCACCATACTGTACAAAGTTATACTGACAGAGAGCGCACGTTCACAGACACCAGAATGAACGTGTTGTGAACACAGTAATGTTCATCAGGCAGTAATACAGTATGTTTATTTTGGGCGAACGTGAATAATATGATACGCGAAAATATGAACGCGTTCATGCACAACACTGGGGAAGAGACACGTCTGCAGTGGCCCATAACAGTGCAGAAACGTGTTGGAGTTAGCGTGTATTGGCTGGCTACAGGTGCATGCAATGACGTGCGGGTCGGATATATGTGACCTGGCCGTTCAGATTGAAGTCGCATTTCAAAAGATCGGATACATATCGGATTTAGACCACATACCCAAGTGGCCTGGGTCGCATTTGAAAAGATCGGATCTGTGTCGTTCAGACTGTCATGAAAAAATCAGATACAGGTCGCATAGGGGCAAAAAAATCGGAATTAGGTCGTTTCAGCCTGCAGTGTGAACGTAGCCTATTTTGATAATCTGTTTAAATGAATTTTATATTTACCATTTTGTTGTAAATGCTTGTCATTTATAAATATTGACCCATTCTCTCCATCAAAAAATCTGCAGATTGAAGGCTATTCCAACAACAACAACAACAAAGTCCACAATGATGTATTGTTCTGTAGGAACACACATCTCCTTTGAACAGACTTGTCTTTCTTGTGATGATGTAAGAGACTAGGGCTACAACTGGGGATGTGCACGAGTAATATTAATTTTTTTCTGATTGGTTATTAGCATGCAGTCCAGACTGGCAAAATAAAGTAAAACTATGGATTTGAAATTGCACAGTGATGCCTGGAATCATTTTGATCATGAAAATACAGTTAAGTGCAAGATGTGCATCTCCAATCTGCCACAACATTATAAGGAGAACACTGTTATAAATTATTTGTGCTTCAGTTACCCGTGTGTCAGTGTTGTTGTTACGGCAGAGTGCCACAACGGGAGTAACACTTTCTGGCTAACACTTAACTAAGTTCAAGTTCACTTACATTTGGGTCCTCTTGTGCCGAAACAAGTTTGTTACGTTATCTGATGAAACTCATTTAGGATGTGTCGCATAGAAATGGCGATACATATTGTCACTATATATCCATGATATGTATTGTTGTTTTTGTTTTGCGATATATTGTAGCATGATATAATGTTACACCCCTAGCCGCTGCTGCTCCTTTCATTTTGTTGTTTATTTTACGATTAAAGTTGTTTAATATCCGCTTCCTTCTTATTTGAACCTGACTTTTGTTACAGTTACGTTTAATCACTTAAATTCACTGCAAAATAGCCGCAAGTGTGGCGTTACACTTAGTGCTGGGTGGTATACCAGCTCATATAGAATAATAATGATATTTATTTTTGTTATGATTCAAATTTTTAATATACCGCAAGTGATTAGCGCAATACTCTGATCGAAGTCTCTGCTCCCCGCCACAGGGCTTCTCAGTTGCTCCGAGCAAATTGCTCCGCAGAAGTATCTGAAGTACGGTTAGAAGATGGCTGTCTCATATGACCTTGTTATTTGATTTTGTACACGCTGTGACTAGGGCTGCACGATTAATCGAAAAAAAAGCACGATCTCGATTTAAACATAAATGCGATCTCATTTCTTAATGATGGCGATTCACTTCTGTGTATTTCCCTGCATTCAGATCATGCTGCATTTACGCGTTATATTGGTCACACTCACACAAAAACAAAACAATAATTCACAAATCAATCATGCGGACGTTTCATCAGGGAATGTCTAAATTAAAGTTGTTGCACGTGAGCAGCGCATATTTTTTTTGGGCTTGCATGTTAATCAAAGTATTCACCGGGAGCAGGGGCAGCGCGTGAGCAGCAGTGAAACGCGCGCTCAATTAAAGTGAAAGCACACTTTTGAGGGACAAAATTAATGATTTCACTAAAAAGGTAGTTTCACACAATGTCTAGTCAGTTTTAACAGGAACTGAAGTACCTTAAAACTTATATAAAAATAATAGCCGAGTCCCATAGACGCCTGTATCTTTTACACGCCTGTGTGGCTGCAGGTTTGGGTAAATAAAAGCTTGTCTCAAATAGGGCAGGTCTGTTTTTTAATTTCGGTTTGTTAATCTTCTAAAACCGTCAGATCGTCTGCTTTTTGGAGGCCGCTTTAGCACATATTAGTCCGGCCAAAGCCTAGTTTGATCGGCGAGTGATGATGTAGAAAAGAAACTGCTGCGCTTGAAAGGGCGGAGAGAGAGAGAGAGAGAGAGAGAGAGAGAGAGGGGAGAGAGAGAGAGAGAGAGAGAGGTCTTCAAACAACACGAAAGTTTGGAAAACCGCAGTTTCACATAGAGCATTTTGGAGAGTTTTAGATATGAAGACTCAAATATTTATAGAAGATTTAGGCTACCCATTTAAACTTGTTTGTAATTATTCAGTTTGGGTGAAAGTGTGATGTCTGATTATAAAAAAAGCTATAGTAAACTAGCCAGAAAATATTAAATATAGCCTACACTTACTTTTAGTTCATGACTAATACACAGACAGCTACATAGGCTGGCCCCAAAGAACCAGCTTAAACAATTTAGATTTTTTTTTGTTACTGCACTTTATTAGACTGTCTTGTGTTTTTTTTTTTTTTTTTTTTTTTTTTTTTTTTTTACTTGAGTGCAATACATTTTGGATGGAAAAAAAAAAAGAGAATCGTGTAAGAGAATCGAGATCTCAATTCCCATGGAGAAAAATCGTGATTCACATTTTAGCAAGAATCGTGCAGCCCTAGCTGTGACTATATACAAATCACAACATGTAAATAGGAAAACGTTGGCATTATTTTGTCACTCATTGGGAGTAGTATGCTAGCTGGAGCCGTTTACCTCTAGTCTTTGTGCTAAGCTAGGCTAGCAGTGGCTGCGTCAGACAGAGTTAAGGCACGCCCGGAGATGAAAAGGCTATGTATGGACTTGTATAACTCAGGGGGATACGGTGATATAAGCTAAAGTCCCAAAAAGTCAGGGTGTTCTTTTAATACTTGTGTTTAATACAGTAAAACAGGGCATTCTAAGTCAATTTACTGCAGTATTTCCTCTCTTAATCAGTAGAAAATGTGGTTTTAAAAAATCAAATTCATCATTATACTGTGAAACCAGTATCATTTAGAAAAATACAGTGATTATAAATTTTTGGTCATACCCCGTAGCACTTGTTACACTACACAGCACTGTTTTACTTAGTCAAAACAATCATTAAAATACGTTTGAGTGTGTTGAAAGTTTTGTTATAATGTTATTTTGAGTGTTTGCTCTGTGGCTGGTGTGAGACACTTGTTCCACTTTCCAGTAAGCTAGATCCATATTAAAATATTATGTTAATAAAAGCCGGATGACTTGTGTTGCCAAAAGGCATACAATTAATTTTAAAATGTATTGTCTGACAGAGAAAAGGCTGTACTGTTATTACAACAAATCTCTTTTTATGAATATGCCATATTAACCACTTGACAAAATAGTGTCGTCTGATTTACTTTTTGGGACAAACGTGTTATTCGCGGTCAAGAAAACAAGAGATTCAAACATTGATATCTTTGGGTATATGAATTATGAACCCCTAAATATTTCAAAGAATTTAAACTCGATTATTTTTCCTCAAATAAATGTATATAGATGTTTGGCAATTAAAAGTTTAGACCTGGAGGGTTTTTGTACAAGGTACTTCTAATGATCTAAAAGCAATGCGAGTTTGAATTTGAAAAAGCAACACACATCAAACATCTTCCCGAACTTGTAATCCGAAGCGGAAACATGCTTTTTTTTTTGAAGCGCTTATAAATATAAAGCAACAACTTGGATCATATACCTTTCTCGCAGCAGCTCACTCTTTCCCCCAATATTTTCCATATCCATTTTGTCCATTGATTTTATTTTATATTTTCATATATTTTAATGAAATTTATCGATCTGTAACAACTGCATCAAACCGCATAGAGAATCTCTCACAACACTTGGCAGCCTGTCTCTGTTAAAATATGCTGATGATTTTTTGGAAGCACTTAATAAAGAAAAGGAATATTGACATTTTTAACTGGTGGTGTCAGAGTTTTTGACCTCTGTGTGTATATAAAAAAAAAAGCTTTTGCATTTAAACAAGTAGCCGCTGATTTCATATCTCAAAAGTGAGATGTTTCAGGGAATTATTTAAAAGCCACAAAGCATTGGTTAAGATTTGATTAACCAGAAGTGTTACTTGGTATTATCTCTTATGTGTGCTGATACGGTCATGGTAAGAGTCATTATAATCACTGTTTCTGCTCTTATTATAACCCTTTATTTTTCTATTTCTCTTTCCCAGGCGTCTGAAAGATGGTGGACCGCTTGGCAAACAGTGAGGCCAACTCTAAGCGCATCGGGTTTGTGGAAGCATGCTTCGGCACTGCAGGTCAACCGCTAGCCATCCCAGGTCGAGTGCTCATCGGGGAGGGCGTTCTCACAAAGCTGTGCCGCAAAAAGCCCAAAGCCCGGCAGTTCTTCCTCTTCAACGACATCCTGGTGTACGGCAACATCGTCATCCTGAAGAAGAAATACAATAAGCAGCACATCATCCCTCTGGAGAGCGTCACCATAGACACTGTTGATGATGAGGGCGAACTACGCAATGGCTGGCTCATTAAAACGCCCACCAAATCCTTCGCCGTCTATGCCGCGACAGCAACAGAGAAGTCCGAGTGGATGAGCCACATCAGCAAGTGTGTTTCGGACCTGCTGGAAAAAAGCGGGAAATCTCCCACCGGCGAGCACGCAGCGGTCTGGGTGCCCGACTCGGAAGCGACCGTGTGCATGCGCTGCCAGAAGATGAAGTTCACCCCCGTCAACCGGCGCCACCACTGCCGGAAGTGCGGCTTCGTCGTGTGCGGCCCCTGTTCGGAGAAAAAGTTCCTGCTGCCCAGTCAGTCGTCCAAACCGGTGCGTGTGTGCGAGTTCTGTTACAAGCAGCTCTCCACGGGAGCCTCCCACTCGGACAGCCGGCACGGTTTGGAGTATTCCAGCAACAACGGAATGTCGGACGACGACGATGAAGACGACAGCAGTGACTAAGGGCCACTTTTAGGAATACTGACAATTTACAGATCATATCTTGATATTTTAGTCGTGCTAATTTTCATTCAGGGTTTGCAAAGTGGCAATAACACTTACCCAAAACAATTAAAGGCCCTGCGCATATGATCAAAAGGTTTGATGGGAAATGTTCCTGCGTATTCATGAACACTACTTGCCTGCTCGCTCTTTCACATTCATTCCGCTCTATAGGCCATTTTTCACATAGATGTATTTCTTGGAAATGGTGCTCTTTCATCAACTTTATTTGAACCCGTTTCTACCTTTTTGCTACTTTATTCTCTCTTGCTACTATGCTGCTATCCCGTGGAACAGAGAATGCTGGGTAATGTGATTGCGGGCTGTTACTAGACATACATTCCCTCAGGTGAAACTATGTAGTGCATTAGAACTAGGTTTTAAACAAGGAGCTGCATTTAATGCTTTGAACAACTAACCACTAACAAACCAGGAAAGTGTGTTTGGGTGAAAGTCTTCTTAGTCGGTTTCTAGTAATTGCAAATGACAAATCAGATAGATGCTACTAAGCTTGTAAATGTGTATATAATGCTGTCGTGTTGCATAATTCATCATCTGACAAGGTCGTCGCTGCCTCAGTGCCTTATTTATCCTCAGGAAGTAGGTCCTGGAAGTGAGAAAATTAGAATACACTTTGACTTGGGTCAATGTTTTTTTACTTTCAGACACCTGCCGCCTTTTGATACCACACCACATGATAGAGGCACACAGGGTAACATTCAGTGACCTTATGATTAGTTACGATTAACTAGAACGTCAGTTTCAGTTGGGTACAGTCCAAATCATTGTTATCCTAGCTTTTAGACCCATGCATCTAGTATCTTGCGTCTGTACTCCACATGCTGGTGTCTCTCTCCTGCCCTGACTTCAACTCTATAGAAATCTACACGCTAACATGCAGCTCGCAGGGATTGCTCTTCACTAAGGCGAAGGACGCACTCTCCAAGCCCTTTCTAATTGAGGTCTTTATGTTAGCAAGGTCATATGTAAGGCCATGACGGTAAATCCTACAGATTTTGAACGGGAATCGAAAGCATTATGAGGAAGTGACTGACAGCCACTTTTTTTTTTTTAAATTGGCTGTTCAACACAATAATAACTGCACTAACTTCTTTCCAAAGTGGTGTTTTATACAGTGGTATAGTGGTGTTGGACTCTTAAAGAAGTGCAGTAGGATATTTCATCAACGATCTACAGTAATTTTTCCTCTTACGCAAGTCAAGCTTGTGGGAGAATAGTCTGAACTTCTTGACTGTCTGAATACTTGATCACCTATGTCAGAATAACAAAACTGACATTGAAAAGGGAAACTAACTCTGGCTAAACAGTCCGCTCAGACCGTCTAGTTTATATGCATCGAGATACACTTGAGTGAAACTATTTTTTTGTTTTGCTTTTTTTTACACATTTGTGTGTCTTATTTGAGATTTAGAAATAGGTTTACAGTGATTGAATAATTTAATCTTGCTTCTGGAACATAAAAGTAGAAGCTATATATGGCATAATGTTGGATTTAATGAATTGTTTTAACCTGAGATGGTTTCTTTGTTTTAAATTCTACTTATGTTGTAATATTCTGCTTCAGTTGTAATATCCTGAGATAATTGTTTTGATTTTCCATGTTGTAAACTTTGTACAGTTTTTTTTTTTTTTTTGGTTTGCAGCTGTTTTTCTTTTTCGTAGCATTTCCGTGTGGTTCACGTGTGCATTTCCTGAACACCTCTGGATCAGCTACCAGCACTTTACTCTCTCTGTAAACCACAAGAGAGGGGTGGAGCCTGTGTAAGATGTGGGCAGGATTACAAATGGCCTGCAAATACAAGATCTTAATCAGTTGAGCAAAGCATCAGAGTATAAACAGGATTGGCATTTACTTTCAATTTATTTTATTTTCCAATTTCTTGAACATTTAAAATTTAAAGAACATTCTGTTCTTGAATGGATTTTTGGGATTTACTGTTTTCTTGTACATTTTTGCATTTTTAATACCCATTTAAAACTCTGAAAGGGCTGAAAACTGAATGTAATTGTCATATCATCATTATTAGATACTAATTTTGAGGAAATATATGCATTGCTTAAACTCTTGTGCCTTGTCTTATGTAATACTGGCCAAATCCAAATAACCGTTCTAGAACGAATTGGACCAATCGTGTCAGGACAATATCTCTCATATATTTGACTGAATTATTGACTGAATATCTGCATTGGTTTCTATGAAGATGACGTTAGGTTGGTGTGTATGCTTATGCCAAAAAAAAACAACACACAACAGCAACAACGTTTGCAATACAGACGTTGTCTAACAACACAACAACATGCTGCCTTGGTGCTGGATTTTTTTATGGAGCAGAGGCAGAAATATGAAGATATAGATATATATATAGAGATGTATATAAATATGATCTGATTCCAATCGAATATGCACAAAAAAACATGTGGGCTGACAGTTGAACAAGGCTTGCATGTCACCAGAAGTTGGGATCACAACCGAACTGAACTCTTGTCTACGTTCAGACTACAGATTTTTTTTTCTCTGAGCTGATCTTTTCAGGCAGACTGTCCACACTTTTTTTATTGCAAGTGATCAAATTTGATTTGTGTCCGGACATAGCCAACCTATGCATGGCGACGTATTTAGCTCTCCAAATAAGCGCCCTGTCGAGTTGCGTTTGCAGAACTTCTCCATTACAAATGCTGAAATCTTTGGACATACTATTTGTACTATACAACACTGTATGAACACTTTCGACATTTCTTGTCACCAGTTGTGAAGTTGGTGTGTGACGCAAAAGACAGTTTGAAATCCGATTTGAGCAGCCAGAGCGTCCAGACGGAGACTCATCTAAAAAATGGATTGGAATAACATTTCAAAACAAGTCCATATGTGGTTGGAATCAGATTTGAAAAAAAAAAAAAAAGTGTTTTTTTTTTTTTTTTTTTGGTCAGACTTTCAAAAACCCCATCTGCATAAAATCTGGATATGCAAAAAAAAAAAAAAAAAAAAAAAAATCTAATTTTAGCTTTTAGCAGGCAGTCTAAACAGGGCCTGGTCAGTGTGCTGGATAATCGGTCTGTTACAGACTTGCAGTCTATTTGTGTAAACCTTTTTACGGTAATCTGTGCCACGTGATGTCACAAGGTAATATGGTAAAAGAGGATTACAACAGTGCTTGTCACTAAAGTTAATGTGATTTAATTCCTTATTTGACATGGTTTCTTGTTTTATGTTTGATCATCAATTTTTCTTCAACGTTTGGCCTATAATGCACAAATGGTCCCTAAAATCTTGCTGTTTATTTAGAATAATGAGTATTAAAGACTGTGACTGTTAATGGCACTCTTTTGAAACAAACCACTGAAGTCTGAAAAGCAAAAATCACACATTTCCATGCAGCTGATTGACAAGCAAGGAAAGAGGTTGTTAAATCAAGAGTGCTGTGACATGACTGTCAGCAATACTCGGTCATTTGCCACTCAATGCCTTCATCGAATTGACTGTCTGGATTTTTAATAGAGGATATACTTAATCCCAGAACTGCCGTGAGATTTGTGGGACATTTTAATTAACCCTGACCACCAGACCATGAAGAATATTTGGGAGTGTCTATACTTATAACAGGTTTCACTGCAGATCATTGCAGTGTATGATAACCTGTTGGAGCTCTTTGTGTCTCACAGGGTTGTCAGCTGCAGATGTTGAACCCTTCTGCTCTGCACATGGGGATTATGCTGCTGATATAAGCGATTATATATCACGTGCATGTTGCGACGAGACAAATCTTCATAATTCAAACCGTTATCAGTGTGTGGAAAGCTAGAGTTAAAACAAGTTCAAGGATTTTACATGCTATGACCTTTGAATTTTTGGAAAGTGGAAATCAATGACCAACTGACCATAATATTATCTGGTCTCCTGTGCTAATACTAAAGTTGACCATATTATACACGTGGGCAAGCACAGCTTAAAACTCCAGAAATAAAGATTATGCAGACCCGGCTGGTGTTGTACATTTTAAAGGGTTAGTTCACCCAAAAATTTAAATTAATAATTTTTTACCCTCAAGTTGTTCCAAACCTGTTAAAATGTCTTTCTTCTGCTCAACACAAAAGATATTTTGAAGAATATGGGTAACCAAACAGGCCCCTGACTTTCATGTATGGGGAATACTATGGAAGTCAATGGAGCCCATCAATTGTTGGGTTACTGACATTCTTAAAAATATAATCTTTTGATAAATGATAAATAATTTTTATTTTTAGGTGAACTATCCCTCAGCGCGGTGTAGTTATCATGAGTGTAGGGTGTGGAGACTCAAGTCTGTCTGTACTCTGCCAACGCATTCTCACCCCAAGGCGTCACCTTTGACCATGTTTCAATATTTGACGTTTTAGGCGCCCTTTAGCGTCACTTACATGACGCGATCCTACGGCGTCATCTAACTGACCCTAAAGGAAAGCGTCAGCTAGAGGACGCGGTTAGGTTTAGGTGTGGGGTGGGGGTAGGGTACACGCGATCCTAGGGCGTCATCTAACTGACGCTAAAGGGCGCCTAAAGCGTCAGATATTGAAGCATGTCCAAATGCTTCCCAAGGCGTCAGTTAAGTGACGCCTTGGGGGTGAGAATGGGCTGACTCTGCAGTGCAGTCACATGTTCTCTCATATATCATTCGCCCTTTGCCTTTCAGTCACTGTGATTAAAATATTCTGGCTTAGTCTCAGAGAAAGTGCCATTTTGAAGAGATAAAGCGAACAAAAGGAAATGCAAGTGCTTAGTTTTTGTGAATAAAAGAAGTTGGTGAGTTAAGTAAAGTTAATTTAAATTATTCTTTGAAACTTTCTCTACATCGAGATTAGCTTAAAGGAATAGTTCACCATTAAATAAAATGTCCCCTTTTTATCCATAAAATGTAGTAAATGGTAAACAAAACGGTATGTTTGGAGCGACATGCAAATGATAACATAATTTTTCTTTTGGGGCAACTATACCTTTAAACGAACAGTTTACTGTAAAGTCAAGTCAAGAAAACAAAAATATTATTATAAAAATAGTTAATCGAAGAAGGTGATACAGATTTTAATTGACAAGAGTGGTGTTTTTTTATGAACTCACTTTAAGGATTGAATGCATTGATTAAAATATGTTTATAGGCCTAGGCTATATAGCCTACAATTCGCGCAGTTTTCAAATTAGAAATTACAGCAAAAAAAATAAATAAATAAAAATAATAATAATCATACAGTGTAATGGCGTTTCAAGTCTAAGTTTGAATTTAAATCTTGAACTGAAAAATCAAAATCAAGCATCAGTTATTAAGTTTGACAGAATGCACTTCCGGTATCAGATGCATTTCGATGAGGTTGAGTTCTGTCTGTTTGTAGGTGTTGGATGGAAGGAAGAAACTGGCAGAGTGGATAAGATTCACCATGACAGTTTTACAGTGTGTGTCATAATGATAGCTAAAGTGCGACTCCTGCTGGCATCAAAAAATTGTGTAGGCTACTTTTTTTTTTTTTTGGAATAAACTTTTTAAAAAAGATTTTTTTTAAGCTTTAATCTGTCGGGTCCATGAACGACATAAACAGAAAAAATAGCCTACAATAATAAACTGGTGAGGCAAATTTTACTTCTGATTATGTAAAATAGTAATGAAGTTCGTGGCAGGCTCTACCAGCAATTTCTACACGTCCAAAAGTAGCCAGTACAGTCACATAAATAACTTCCAAATCTTGCTCATTGGATAGTGTTGTTGTGATGCATGATTTATGCTAATCCTCTGAAATGACAGAACAATTGAGCAGTTTACCTCAATATTTAGGCTACTTGAAGGTGTGACTTGGTAGTAGCCTAGCGTGACTGCCCAGTTCAAATGTAGGTGCATTTTAAAATGTTAGTTCTCCCAAAAATGAAAATTCTGGCATTATTTACTTACCCTCAAGCCCATAAGACTTTCGTTCATCTTTGGAACACAAATTAAGATATTTTTAAGGAAATCTGAGAGCTTTCTGTCCCTCCATTGACAGTTACGGAACTACCATTTTAATGCTTTAAAAAGTACATAAAGAGATCGTAAAACTAATCCATATGAATTGATCGCGTTAGTACAAATTTTCTGAAGAGACTTGATCATTTTATGTGATGAACAGATTTCATTTCGCCTTTTATACACATACATTGATCAGCGAACATAAACAAAGCTGAAACGTGCGGTGTAACACCGGCATGAACCTCATTGGTTCTCACACGCCAATCGAACATGCCAGAGCTTTCGTTTACCACACCTGATGTCAGTTGATGAATATGCGAATAAAAGACTAAATTAAATCGGTTAATCATATAAATTAAGCGATAGGTCTCTTCAGAAAATTTGGACAAAACCACTCAATTCTATGGATTAGTTTTACGATCTCTGTGTCAGTTACGTAGCCTATAGCTGTCAGTGGAGGGATATAAGCTCTCGGATTTTATCAAAAAATATCTTCATTTGTGTTCCGGAAATTATTGAAAGTCTTACGGGTTTACAATGGGTAATACCATAATTTTCATTTTGGGGTGAAATAACCCTTTAAAGCAACATCCGTTCTTTACTGTTCCTTTAACCATAACAGATATGAGGCTTTCATCTCTGTGTTCATCTTTTAAAAATGCTGGATGTGCTTTTGCCCTTTGTGTCTAATAGCATAATGCATGAGAGTAAGAGGAAGATCTTTCTCCGTTCCTTAACACCCATCATTATGCAATAGTCTGCTCTGTGACCGGACAATTAAGAGCTGGCTGGGCTTTCTGATATTACTTTGCTTTGTGTAACACGCGACCCCCAACAACACTGCACAAAAGGTTTCATTTTCAAGCTTTGATTGTGCTTTAATAGTAGATTTTTGGTCCTTTTTTGGAGCTTGACAGCGCTGTGAACCATTATATGTCAAAAGCAGTGTAATGATTTTTCCTAAATGTCTTCTTTTATGTTCCTCAGAAAATAACAATACACGGCCTTGAATTTTTAGCTTTAATATTTCTTTTTCATTCACAGCTATTGAAGGTCACCAGTGCAGCACAAGAATAATGTTAATTGGATGTGAAAATGTCGAATTATTTCTCTTCTCTAGAACTGTTGAGGCAATTTCACAACAGATTTACACATTTTTTGAAGAAAAAAACATGCTCGAATTTGCTAATAGTCCGTGTTTACCATGGTGTTGATGGGGTCACCGTGATTTTGCCAAGTGACATATTTTGTTGACCTTGGAACAACATTTCTGTCTGA